TTTGACACTGATTTTCATTTTTCACAGCTAGAAAGCTTTAACATTTTAGCACCTACACTGTTGGAAAAGAATTCTCCCTTTTCAGTTAGCCAGTACAAAGCCCGATGTGCTGCTGAGCGTGCAAAGAATCAGCATCAAGGCAACGGTATGGAGAAAGTAGCGACCGACTTTTCTGAGGTGATAATTCCTTTTTATAAACTGCTGTTCCAAACAAATTCTTATTAGTTGTGCCCAACTTCATTCGCACACGACTTCCTCAGCTCTCTGCGCACTCCAGAGAAGACGCCATGTAAAAACAAACCAGAGGAAGAAAGGTCCACAGTTTTTTTTATTCCATGGAGCTCTTTCTTTATCAATTAATCTATCTAGAGCTGAGCTTATGAATCGACTTTTTGGCGGCGAATTATCGATGTCCCCAACAAGGGCAAGCGAGCACACTTCCACCTCCTTTAGGCCGCAAGGAGATGATTTGAGGTGGGCATCATGACCAGCTTTTGCGCCAATCATCGTCCAAGCTGATGTTTACTCTATTTAGCCGATATGATCTCATGGAACGAGCGCTGAATGAAGCGTCACTCACACCCTCAAAAATGAGGGCTTACGCGATGCCACAGCAGGGCAGCGGTACATTACCAGATGACGTCCGAACGTCCATGGTAGAAATGATGAATCAGGATAGCAGAGATTATGTGAAGCAGTTTGAGCAATTAGCCAATACTATTACTGCCCCGCGAAATCGAGGAAGAGTGGAACGAACGCCCAAAAGGAAGAGGAAACGATGAAGTACATCTATGCTGCATGTTTTTGTATATATTGTGACAAGTAATAATTGCTTTGATAAACATCGTATGAATGATCGACTAGTTTGCACCTATCGAGCACTCCTATTTGTCGTAATTTTATCAAGCTTTTCTGTGGTGGAGATCAGGGAACTATCAAATCTGTCAGTCTTGTGAATTCGAAAACACATTACAACTTTTCTAATATATTAGGCTGTTGAGAAAAGAATGTCGTTTTTTTGCTTGCTTTAGTAAAGCAACCAGGCGAGTTCACTGAAGGATAGGGTTTTGTTCGATAGAGCAGA